GTGCGCGCAGGGGGGGGGGGGGGGGGGAAGCGGCAGGTGCAGGTGGTGACACCCCACAGAAACTGGCAGTGGCTTTGGCGGTGGCCAATCTCCGGGGGGGGAGGCACGTGCCCCCTCTGTGTGTCTCGTATGGCTGCAAGGGTGATCTGCTACAACTTTGGGAAGTTGGATCCACCACCTCCAGTTTCTGGATCCTGGAAGGGACACCAGAGTTTTCTCAGCTTCTCAACCATTTGCTTGTTCCTGAGAGAAACATCTTGCATATGCCCAGGGCACCAGAGCTCTCCCTGGCTTTCAAGTAAAAAAAGGTAGGAAGCCTTAGCATGTAAACAGAAATCATCCTTGTGTCACCATACAATTTTATATGGTGGCACAAAGGCCAAGCAAAAAGACACCCATACCACTTGTTGCACCACAAATGCCCCAAATTTGTGGCTGTAACATAGGTGGTATCAATTTGTTTCACTGTCTTGCAGTGGACGTCTGTTTGTTTCAAGGCACGAGAGCGTGGGCAGCCCAGAGCTGCTTGCTCTCACCAGCTACTCCGGGCAGGCCCTCCTGGGGCCTCAGGGGCCCAATCCCTAGTGCCTTAGGAATTCCCGTTCCCAGGGTGGTCAGGATCAGGCCCCTTAAGCCCCCAGGAGCACCTGTGGACTCCTGGGAGTCCCTGGGTATGCATATCTACAAATGGGGAACCTCAGGTTTCCCTTCTAGGAGAGGAATACCTGAGGATTCCCCAGGCACTCCTCTGCTAGTGGGGAAACCCAGAATTCCCCTGGTTTCTGAGTGGTACCCCAAGTATTGTTCACTTCCCAGAAGTGACAGGAGCCTGACCCAGCAGGAAACTTGGCCATGTCTGTTTTGGCCAGTTAAATGAATTGGCTGGGTAGGGACACATGCTGGCAAACTGATGCACTTCATTTGGCAATATCTATTTACATCTGTAGTATGACTGTGGAAAGGGGAGTGTGGGAATGCTTACTCCTGCCATATGGCCCTGCATGAAACCAAATTTGCCCTAAGTAATTTGTTGCATCTGAGAGCAGAACTTGACTCAGAATGTTGAATATCAAAACTAATTAATAAGATAGACGGCCTGGTAATGTTTGGTTTTAAGCAGATGTTTCCACTAATCTCTGTGTGGGATTCTTCTTAATTACAGATAGAACAGTATGGTCTACTGGATGGTAAACTTCAACAGAAATAACATCAAACACAATATAAACTCATTCTTTCAGACATTACCTCAGACTTCACTATTTAGGAAATATACCAAGAATATTTCCACTGCAAAATAATCTGTCTATGCCAAATTTTCGTCTCAATTACATTGATATATATCTAGAATAACTTTGCCAAGAGTCATTGGAACATCACTGCATTTTTGCCTTGTATGTATTCAATTTTCTTTTTCTTTCTAGACTAAAGTAGTAGCATAACTAAAGGTGGAAAAGTAGAACTGGGTACTTGGACATCCTGCTGCTGTTAGAGCAACATCTGGGGCAGACAATGCTGCACTGGACCAGGGACTCTGTTTTAGTTTCCAATGAGCACATCTACACATGTAATTAGTGCAAAGCAATAAACTCCTGGGCACACCATTTGAATGTGTTCCTGAGACTGCTGCATGTTGAGCTGGATCAGAGCAGCCCTAGCTGGCCGGACTCCTGGGGGTGGGGGTCAGCCTACAAGCCTGGGGCTGCTTCCCCCAGTTCAATGTGCTGTGGAGAGGCTGGCCGGGGCATGAAGGTGCTCCAGTGCAGTGCTAGCTGGCAGGCAGTCCCCTCATTGAAGCATCCTTGTGCCCCATCCAGCCAAGGTAGCATCTACATGTGTGATCTGGTGGAGTTAAACTCTGCAGCAGGTATTCCAAGTACTGTCCCGCTGCAGTTAGTTAGTTTTCTCCAGCTTAACAGGGGCACACTTGTTGACACACGACATTTACTGTGGAGCTAATTAGTCTACTCTGCAGTAAACACTCAGTGTAGGTAAGACTCCTCCTGTGTGCCACCCCGCTCTGGTGCTCCCTCTGGCTGCCCCTTCCTCAGAGCATGAACCCTGCTTTTTATGCCGCTGTACTGAAGTAACAGTTTGTGCTACACTGTCACCCAATAAACAGACAGGGTAAATTGCTAGAGTAACAAGTTCCATAAAACCAAAACTCTTATTCTATTAAACATATATTTTGAAGGAGCAGCAGAGGTGTAATATAGCACTGCCTATCAGAATGTTAAAACTTGAGTACCTAATATCTATTGAAATCCATGTTTTGATAACTATATAAAAATGCCTGATTGGTGTTTTTTAAGAACTGAACAGGAGCAATTTTCATTGACTTTTAAAGGGGTTTGTCAATATCATATCTTCAGAAGACCAGTGATTTGTCTATTACTGACTATTAGAAAATGATGTTTGTCCCTTTCTCCTGGGGGTGTGGTATGGAGTGGACTGCTGGCTCTGTTGTACCACCCTGCAGAATGCCCTCCTTTAACACCACTGCTGGCAAAATAAAGGACCATACACAAGGCCTGTGCGAAGCAGCTAGTATTCACTTCGGATTCGGATTTGGCCGATTCAGGGGACAGTGATTCGATTAGGGGTTTGAATCACTGTCCTGATTCGATTTGGCCAAATCTGATTTAGAGATTAGGCAGCAGCTGAATCTCCAAATCAGCCAGGCCAGGCCCATCCCCTGCCTTTCTCCCAGCCTGGCAATGGCTGCCCTGCCTGCCCCAGCTCCCAGCACTTGGGGAAAAGAAAGCCCTGGCTCAGCAGGTGCTGCTGGGTGGGGGGCAACCCCTGCTGCCCCCCACTGCTGCATGGGGGGCTCTGCATGAGCCCCTGAATCCCCCCCTCCCCCAGCCCCCGCATGAGTGCCCTGCCTGGGCCAGCTCCAGCTCTTTAAGAAAAAAAAAAACCCTGAAGAAACCCCCAGACTCACCACTGCTGCTGGCAGGGGCGATCTCCACTGCTCCGCACCATGTTGTTGCATAAATTGCTGATTTTATCCCCTGGAGG